CTGTATATTTATCATAATTACATTCGAAAAATGGATACTTCACAAGATCTATAAAACATTTTCTTATGAAGTCATCTGAAAACTAAAGCACAGTCACACATTTTGCAATGAAAAATTAAAGAAAGAGTTGCTGATAAGTAATTTATTAAAATTATATTAAGTTTTGAAGTTACTAACCTCAAAATGTAGTTGAAATATGAAATATCGATGTTTCGATAATATACTTTAACGAGTTTTAATCGCTAAAATAAGGAAAATAAAAATTTATTTTTATAAAAAATATAATTTCACTTTACGATGATATTTGATTGCATAGCAACAGGCAGATTGATTATGCGAATGTACATGACGTTTCGAATTTAAAAATTCATTCGCGACTGTTATCCGCGGAATTAATCTTGGGTAACTAGTTCAAGATTGGAGAGCGATTAGTAGAATTGATAATAACGAATGAAATTGGACGCGTTGTCGTCTTGAATGCTTGACAACAGAATAAACGAACGAATATTAAGTGTATAATGTTGTCTCGAATGTTCGACGACTGCAAAATTCTTCTTGAGATATTTCTCAAATATATTTTTCAAGTATGTACTTATTTCGTACTGATTTCTGCAGATCGAACCGGTTGCTGCTAAATAGAAGTCGCTACACTATAGCTAAACAATTCTAATTTTTGTGTCTAACAGATGTCGCAAGCATCCTCCCAGTGTGTTCTTTACGCTCCCTCTCCCAAAGTTTGGCAACGTTGCCTAATATCCATCATTTCCATGCTGACTTTTCGGATCTGGGTTACGGTTACAAACAGATTTCTAATTTACCCTTAAGAAACTCACTACATATGTATTTTCACATATTTCGCTAAGAACACCGTATGACATGTCGAAAAAAATTCTCTAAGAAAACTGAGTTAATTCTTAAACTAAGTAAGTACTCTAAGAAAAATTGAATTAACCACAAAACTATTGTTTTTTAGAGCATGATTCAAAAATCTTTCATTAACCTCTTAAACTTCAGGAGATAAAATTACGTAAAATTCAAAGACCTTTAAAAAGTTTCAGAACAATTTATGATTAGTTACCACAGAATCGTAAATTCGTATCTACAGAGAAAGTTAACTGCTTTTTTATGAAAATCAGATGTGCATACATGTAGCCAAACGTGTTAATGTCAAGTGGCGACATGTTGTATCAATCTAACGAACTAACTCAATCTATTTCTACGCTTCAACAATACTTTATTCGAATAAAACAAACTTTGTGTAAAATAAAATTAGAATCAAAAATTTTAAGACACGAACATGAAATACTTGCTAATTATTCAAATATTAAGTTTACAACAATTGCACTTCGACTTAATTGCAGACTCTCCTTTACTCAAACAAAATAACCTTCTAAAAAAAAAAAACTGATTCCGAGATATTCAACCAAAATACAAGACTCTCATTCCAACTATTAAATAAACAAAACAAAAGTAGAAGTAACAATGTACAATTTATTTACAATGATTATCCCGACATTCTCTTACAGACTGCCGTTTAAAACAAGAACAAATTTTGACAAACCAGATAAATATAAAGTTACCAGATGTAGGACAAGTAGAAATGAAACTCAAAGCTCGACGAGGCGAGTTTCATTGGTAATATATCATGAAGAAGAATCATTCCAATCAAAGGAGGACATTTGACTTCGTTTGCTTTCTGACTTTGATTCACAAATCGTCGTTCAGAATCATCGAGACCGATCATCTCAAGTCACAGGTACCGATCTTTCATTGTCACCTTTTCACTGTGCGTCGAGGTTGTTCTCCTCAGGATGAGCGGCGATGTACTCAAGAGCTTTGAGAATGTGAGGTGGAATGGGCGGGATGTGACTACCCTGAGGTTGGAATCCGTTCTCGTTCGCTACGTAGGTCACTTGGACAATTTCGCCGTTCGGCGCTGTGTAACTGTAACTGCCCTGAGCTTCACGAGCCTCTGCCTGGGTGCCTGCGTAGTTAAGGTAGCCGACCTCCTGCGCCTGGATGCCATTTGCCGTTTCATAGTTGTAGCTGTAGCTTCCGTCTGGATTCGGGCCGTCGGCGCTTTGCCTCAAGATGGGAATCGGAGTGGTGTATACGCCAAGGGGCTGTACCAAGGGGCTGACGGGAAGTGCAGATGCCACGGAAGCAATGGCGAACAAGGCGATTATCTGAAACCGCGTATATTTCTTAGTTTTTTATTATTATTCTAGTCTTAGGCTAGCGTGCCATACTACGCTTTATTTTATATTGTAATTTTCATATGTGTAAAATTGAAGAAAAGAGTAATGAACGTGAACTTTTATTGTTTATTGAAAAAATAGGAAGGATCGTAGAATAAATACAAATAAATTTTTGAGAACATTTCTGACGGTATACCGTGAAATGGATCGAAACTCAAAAAGGATAAATTGACATGTTTGACATGTGTATGTGGTTTTGAAAAAATAATTTTTAACACTATTCAATAATAGAGGTGTAGATGCTGACAATTTGCGTCTCTAATCAACAATGTGTTTATTTGCAACTTGTTCACATAAAAACATTCTGTAAATTGTATCAGCGTGTTGGAAATAATAGCATTTAGGTATTTTCCCAATGGTCCATACCTTCCGTGTGCAGTAATTTACGAGCAAGTAAACTATCGGTAATCTGTATCTGTTAGTGATTAGCCCCTTAACTTATAGCAACGTGTCAGACTCGTAGCAGAGATTCTGGTCAAGATGTGACAAAAATAGTTGTATTAGTAAGAAAAATTAATTGTAATCCTAACTTTCGTTTTAATTTGTAAGATTGAGGATTACTAAATGTAGTTAATTTGTAACAGATTAGCTTTTGTTACTTGATACAGTACTAATGCAGTAAATGGCTGACGCATAGTCAGAAAAGAAATCATAAGTTAAGGGGCTAATGGTAGTTAAGTCAATTGGATGCTTTTTGTGTAGTTTTCTAGGGTTAACTTAACTTGATAGCTCTTAATAACTTAACTTAAAGGGTTAAACTTGTCGTAAATTTTTTTTAGGGTTACTTGTTTGAAATGCATGAAAATGTGAAAATCATGGATATAAAGGGTTAAAGCGAACTTTAGAGATATTAGTTAAACAACAAAATAATAAAAATCGAGTTGCAAATGATATGTTATTGCTCTCCGAAATATCTTCAAAGAAACGTGATACACACTGCTGTTCATAAGTATTAGGACACCCGTTATCTTCATATAGAATTAAATTACATGTTTTCGCCGAAGTTAGTACGATTTATCGGTAAAAATATACGGGGTGTTCGCGCTATTATTTCCTAACGTTTCTCTCGTAAACGGTAGATTTGTGAGAAAAATAGAAGAGGACAAAGTTTTGTTATTTTTTACGCACAATACGATGGCTTGATTAAATTTGCAATATCTTCCCCTAATTACGATACCACGAATTTTGTTAAATTCAATAGGTAAATAATGGAACTACTGTTTCAAATTTATGAAAAAAGAAAAATGGAGAATATTTGGAATTGCCAAATTGAGATGGTGTTCGTTGAATTTAATATTTAAATTTTGCAAGAAAAGAAGAAACAGAATATTTCAGAGTTTAACAGAATCGACGAATAAAAAAAGAAAGTATTTTCCAAGAATATTTTAACCTTTCATAATCCAACGATACAGTTGTTCAAGTGTCAAAAAACATTTAACTGATAGAATATGCATGATTTTCAGAGTTTCGAGATTTAAGAACTTGAACTATACAATGAATAATACATGAGAATATTGCCTGGGAGTTTCCTCAGAAAACTAGGAATGATTTAGCATACGAAGCGTTACGATTCCTACAATTATGTACATTATCCGCGATTAAAACTGCTGTTTACGTTATACAGATTAAATATTCGTAATACCTACACATGTACATCTTTAATTTTACGTCGATGCACGACGAATTAAAATAATTTTGTAATATTTTTCTAAATACATTTCCGATTGCGCTAATTAATTCAAATCTCCTCCACATATACATCAATCAATTAACCGAAAAATACTTAATAATTCCAAAACGAATTACACAACTAAGTTTCTCAAGAATTTCCATTCATAATTACATCAAATCTTCCGAATCAACGAAACAAGATTAAACCTAACCTAACCTCAAAGCAAACGAACTCCACGAAACCATAGATACAGGTTCGTTCGTTCAACAGTCTTAACGTAAGAAACGCTTCGGTCCAAAGAGGTAACTACCGAAAATTAGGGCTATCTTTTCTCCCTAATTAGTCAGAATTCCTCTGGAACGTGTAATTACGCAATGGCCACAGCACGACGCGCGATGACGTAACATCGATTCCTGGATGTCCCGTTTCTACCGACCGCCGGTACAAAACGAGACCGTGAATAAAAGCGCACACGGGCACCTCAACCGGACTCACCAAACGGTTCATGTTGATTATCGCTGGATGCTTTTTTATATTTACTCTCGAAAGTGAAATTCTGGTTCTTCCCACAAGAGTTCTTCTCACTGCACTGACTCGTAAGATCGGGCACAGGATCCCTTTATATATCCATCAGCTGAACATTCGGCGAATTTCTGGCAAGCCGGAACCTTATTTAATCCCACTCTTACCCCTTTCTCTCCCACTCTGTCTTGCAGGACACCTTCAAAACTTTTGCAGATGATCCAGACGCGCGATCCGAGGATGACAAAGTGGCCGTGCGAGGACCGAAAATTCGAGGTCATAGCTACACCTGTACTTTTTTGCGTTTTATCCGCATCTCCTTTTATAGAATACGCGATACGTACAAAGATAGACGTTTCGACATCATTTTTTTTTTCTTCTTCAAGATTCGTCGTATACATGAATGAACGAAATCTGAATTTAGAATGAACGTTAAGTTCGAACATTTACTGGAAATTAAACGGAAGCACCTGTGTCTGTGGTTTCTTTTTATCGAGTTTATTGGTTTTGAGGTTAGGTTCGGAAAAAAGTGAATTTCTTTCTGGAACTTCGGTAACCAGAAAATTCCGATTTGCTTGAAAGTTTGCAGGTTTGTAGGGGACCTCGAGAGAAGTATCGGGGAATTTTTATTTTTCGTCCTTTCTCAGTTCTTCCGGGGTGAAAACAGCCCTTGAACGAGGATAAGTGTTACCCTACTTCCCTGCATATCTTTGAAACTATAGTGTATATAAAAAAAATGTTTATAATAAAAATGTATTGGCTTTTTATGCCTTATAAGACGACGATGACCGCGCAAAAAGCGCGTACCGATTAAAATTATTTAAATATTGCATTATTCGATAAAGTTAACATATTCAGCATATTTATCTGCATTTCAGTGAAACGTATATTCGGATAATTCAGGAAAATTTACCGAACGTGTGAAACAAGCTTTCCACTAGAATTAAGAAATTCCGAAAAATCCTGTTTGGAACATATCTTTGTTTATAACCAAATATAACCTCGCAGCTGCAGAATCCAACAAATTTGGATACTTACGTAACGTTATATAAGAGATAATGTAAAGCAAAGTTGTTTCGATACTTTCAGGCTGTACAGTATTGATGATTTGTTGCTTGCAGGTTCTCTAATTTGCACAATAACACCGGGAATATAAAGTGTGAAGTTAGCGGTGCTTGTTAAGCGTAAATTTCAACGTATCTTGATCATTTATCGCTGTTCTTCATTGAACGTATTCGAAAAGTAAGCTTACCGTGGTCTTGGTATATTGGGTCGAATCTGCGGGTATGGAATAATTTAAATTTTTACCAAGTTTACGTGTATTATGAAAGAATGGAGGAAAAATGAATGTGGATATTGTGAGATAAATCAGTAAAAAGCTTCAGATTTAAGCTGTTTCAAGGTTCGTTTAATATGAAAAGTTCGTGTGAATTCACAGCCACTGTGTTGCATCACGCGGTTTTATGCAGAAACTGTAAACAGTATTACGTAGCGGTAGTAAAGTATCCTAAAATCTGAATGAAAATTAATATCGATTAACAGAAGCTGTGTAAATTTTTATTACTCTCTTAATCTATTTATTGAAAAGTTGAGTTTCCCCATGAAATTGTTGTATGAACTATACGATAAGTTGTTTCACGCGATATTTTCTTGTTTACACCAATTTTCGTTAATATTCCTCTAAATTAATTGCAAGCTTATATTCTTTTTTTTTTTGGAAAAGCCATAGTTCAATATTTGCAAATGTAATAATTTGTCCAACGTTTAGGAAACTTCACTAGCATAATAAAACAAAAATTTTAATAAATATTGCACTGCAATAGTATCATAAATAAACAATGAAAATATCTATCGAATTTTATTACCAAAAAATAAACACAGTCATTTTGCTTTTACACTGTTAATATTCATCTACGATAAATTAAATGTACAGAAAAAATACGAGGGAAAGACAGATTATGTATATCGTTTTGGAATTATTTTTATTTTGCAATATAATCAATTTTAACATCGATGCACTTGGACCAACGATATTCCAATATGATTATATCATCGCGAAAGTTCAGTATGCCACGAGTTGCAAAATATTCATCAATGTTTTCCTTGATTTCCTTCATTCGAAGGTCAGACAGACGGACGGGAAGCGAAGTCGGGTCACATTTGACCCACCGTAAGATTTCTTTGTCTGTACATTAGAGAATCAATCTTTTTCGTGAAATTTTTATTTAATATTAATACCAAATGTTAACTACTATTACTACAAATAAAAAAATATATTACTAAACTATAAATACTAAATTTAAAAAAATGGTATTATTGCTTAATGGTTGAATTAAATTGTTAATAATAAGAAAATATACTGCTAAACTATGAATACTAAATTAAAAAAGATTGTATTATTAATTAACGGTTGAATGACCTTTAACGATCATTAAAAATGGCATCCTATTTAAAAAACAGAGAGATGATCTTGAAAATATATTCATTCAGTCCTTTATAATTATTACAGGATAAAATGGCACTTTATTATGTTATAGTACCTCCTGGTGTATTTTGGTGTGAACGCACTTGAAGTTCAGAATTTCATAGAATTAACAAAATTACTAAATATAACATTAGTAACAATAATTTTATATTTACGCAAATATCTCATCAATTTCTTCAAATTTTAAAATGAAATTTTAAATAATGTTTTCAACATCTGGCGAATGTTTATTTCACGTCTTTCACAGCATTATTTTCAACTATCTTTTATTCCTACACAAATCACTCCCTCTAATCTATTTTCCCACTTTTCTATGTAATTTTCATTTAACTTTCTATTTCCACCGACTTGTCTATACAAGTATTTTCAAAATTTAACGAAATCAACAACACTCGAATCGCGTTCGAAGGTAAAAAAAATTGAACAAAGAAATTTTCTTCACGAACGTAACACGTCCAATGAAATCCTGGAACGCCAGATATAGTTAGAAAATTATGAAACTAATTAAAAAGCATCCAGCTGAAGGTTAGACACCAAGGCTAATAACACGGTAATAAAATTTCGTTATCGTGACGACTATCAGCCTCTAGCATCATTACAATTATTTCGAGTGTACGCAGCTTCACCGAGAAAGTCCTGATGCCACGAAAAATATTTATGAGCCCATCACGATAGATCGCCATGATAGGAGTTTATGATCCCGGTAACTAGCTTTAAAAGCCACCGGACACGAAAGGAAAGGTAATAACGTGGCGTTTTACGAAGGACAAAATCTGCATAACGGTGATATGACGACCGTTAGGAGTCATCACTTCGTGAAAAAAAGAAAAAAAAAAAAAGAAAAAAACAGAAAAAAACTAGATAATCTCCTCTTGTTGTCGGGTGTTTCGTAATGAAATCGAACATAACGCGATGTTCGAAACCGAACGAATGAAAAGTCATCGGTGAAATTGAAATTACAATATATCCTTCATTTTCTCTCGGTTTAATTAGCGCAAAATATTCATAACTGTCTACAGGGTGTTATTAAAATAACGATCGATGATTTATACGGCTGAATGTATCATTTGGACGAACGGTTAGGAATATTTTAACGAGTTACTTGTTAATAAAAAAAAAAAAAAGTAGTATTTTAAATACTTCTGATCA